CTGAACTACGCATAATCTTAACTACCTGATATCTACCAGCCTGATCCATCCAACTTGTCTGCTCCATACCTGCCTGCATAACACCAATCTGGACACTTTCTCAAAGTAATATTATATGGTGTTATTTTCCTGCTTGATCAATACGCCTTCTAATTGGGGGCTGATTGACTAAGTTACTCATTTTCCTGTAATCCTGCAGCCTATGTGTTCTGTTTTATTTGTCCTATTACTTTAACCTATACTTTTATTTATAGGTTTTCTTATTTACTTTCATTCCTGTTTATAATCTATATAGGGCATATTGCCTAAGCCCCTTTATTTCTGTTTTTCTCTCTCTCTCTCTTTCCTATATATAATTATAGGATATCCTGTTCATGTCTAAGAGCACAAATAAAGTACCTGAAGTCAACCCTGGCATAAGTCTCCTCTCTGACCTGCTGAGAATCCTGACATATTGATTCAAAGTATATGGGATCAATTTCAGATAAGTGAGATTTTTCATTAAAGGTTCACTTTAAATTGCAACCTATACACCCCAATGTGTTTTAGTTAATTCTAGTCTAGTTAGCAACCAACTACAATATAATATGACTTATAATATATGTGTACTATGAAGCACTAATATCAGGGTTACTTACTAAAGTGAGAATTCAAAGTGGATTTTAGATTTAAAACCAAAATATCCAAACTGGATAAACTCTTTGTCAGCTATGCTTCCAGTTTGGCTACTCTGGACATAAATTAGAAGTTCATTTTGAATTCTCACTTTTGTGAATAACCCCCCTCCCCCCCCTCACAAGTCACAATACAGGAGACGCACAGTACGTGCAATACGGATACAAACAGTACATGTAGCTTTTATAGGGTGGACTGCCCTGCATCGAGCTAACAGCGGGTGGGAATTTGAGGAGTACAGATACAGCGAGGAGAGGAGGGGGTCTAGTAGGACGGTTTTGATAAACATAAGGTAAAATGATTTAGTTCTCCTGTGCATTGCTGTACAAATTTACTTAAACCATCTGTGAATACTACATTCCTACTAGCATATAATAATAGTGATATCAAACCATATATTTTAACCAGGAAAGTGCCCTTAGCTTATCTTTACAGATAATACTGGGTTTTTTATATTAATATTATTTCCCAATTCAATTGTACTCATTTTATCAACTTTAGAAAGATTCAGTGCTCTGGAATCAATACTGTGACTCGTACATACTGCACTGGATCTCTATTCAGCAAGGTATATCAATATTCTAATCTCAGCAATATTTTAGCTTGTGTAAAATCATCCAATAATAGATAAATTACAAAAATTCTAAGTAGATCTTTTGCACACTTACAGGGTTACTTACTAAAGGGAGAATTGACAAGAATTCAAAATTAATTTCAAAATTTAGGCCAAGATAGCTGATTTAGAAAAATTCTTCAAGAGCGTTGTGCTTTCAGTTTAGCTATATTACCGTATATACTCGAGTAGAAGAAGAGTTTTTCAGCACATTTTTTGTGCTGAAAACCCCCCACTCGTCTTATACTCGAGTCAGTGTCTGTATTATGGCAACTTACATTGCCATAATACAGACAAGGACCGCCGGGCTCATTACAAGCCCGGCGGTCCTGTTGGGGGCTGGCAGAGAGCTGTAACTTACCTTTCCTGCAGCTCCTGTCAGCTCCCTTGTCAGCTCCACTTAAAGTCTCGCGGGTCACCGTGGCAATGCTACGCGCGGCACTCAGACCGCAAGACTTACAGGGGAGCTGACCGGACCGGTGGAGAGAGAAGGGAGCGGTCAGGAGCTGCAGGAAAGGTAAGTTACAGCTCGCTGCCAGCCCCCCTCCTGCACAGCCCATCCACTAGACCACTAGGGAATGAGAGCCCCCCTCCCTGGCCAGCTAACAAGCACGGGAGGACGAAAAAAATCTAAATAAATAAAAAATTTAATAATAATAAAATAAAATAAAATATTAATAATATAAAAAAATATTAAAATAATAATAATTACAAAAATTTTATAAAAATGCACACTCCCCACCAAGGCTCTGCATCACACACACAAACACACTCTGCATTCATACACACACACACTGCATTCATACACACACTGCATTAATATACACACACACTGCATTCATACACACACTGCACTCATACACACACTGCACTCATACACACACACACTGCACTCATACACTCACACACTGCATTCATACACTCACACACTGCACTCATACACACACTGCATACATACACACACACACACTGCACTCATATACACACACACACCACTTTAATACAAACATACTGCATTCATTATATACACACACTGTAAATAAATTTTCAATTAAAATAATTTTGGAGGGATATAATTTTATTTAGAAATGTACCAGTAGCTGCTGCATTTCCCACCCTAGTCTTACACTCGAGTCAATAAGTTTTTTGGGGGTAAAATTAGGGGTCTTAACTTATATTCAGGTCGACTTATACTCGAGTATATACGGTAACTTGAAATTCACTTAGAATTTTACGGCAATTCTTACTTTAGTAAAAACCATGTCGGTATTTCTATAAAATGTGTAAAAACCTAAGTATTTAGAGCTCAATTTAAAATGCATTTTAATAAATGTATTAAAAAAAAAAAAAGACCAGAAATTAGATCCCATTCACTGCATGTGTTTTATTAATTGAGACATATATCCCACAGCAATTTATATTAGATAACTGTTATATCTTGATATAAATATGTTAGAAATAAAAAGGTTTCAAATCCTTAAACAAAATTGTATAACAAAAAATGCAGCTCTTCAGAACGATATTCTAATATTATTTAGAATAATCGGGTACAGCATGATCCAGAGTAACAGAACAACTTAATTTGTCTCCAAATAAACAGAAATATTTGCCCTATTTGTAAAAAAAATAAAAAGTTTTTTTAAAAAAATATCCTTCTTCTAACATTTATTTAGATCAATTATATTTAATTGTATCACTGTAGTAAGACTTTAAAATTGTCCAGATTTTAAATTATTATTTGCTTGTGTGTTTCAAACTAAATTCCTTCTCTAGAATAACCCCTTAGTGAGAGATAGCATGATAGGACTGTCATTATGACATAGAATTGGTCCTCAAGAGATTACGTAATAATTCTGTTTTTATTTCCGATAAAAGGACAGCACACTAGCTGGACTGTATTATAATACTATGTCTAAGGAAGTGACCCAAACAAAAACATTCTAATAATTATCTTTATATTTTTATTTACGCAGAGATTAGTCCGTAAACCAATTTCATATATATTTTATTGTTTGTTTTGATTTTTTTTTTTAGGTACATCTTTCTTGACCTGCCTGTATTCTGATGGTTTAACCCCTTAAGGACACATGACATGTGTGACATGTCATGATTCCCTTTTATTCCAGATGTTTGATCCTTAGGGGGTTAATATCTTACATGCACATCACTATATTAATTATTTTGGTATCCCTCTGAACCAAATTTTTTAAGGAGTAAAATGTCAATGTGAGGAAAGCCAGGGGTTTTTAGTGATTGACTGGCTGTCCTCAGAGAGAAGGATGTGGTAGGTCTGAAATCAACTCAATGTTTTAAAAAAATCAAGACACCAGGTCTGGGTATAGGAAGATCATTATATATGTTTGTATTCCTGGCACACATTGTGGTTAAGATCTCTTGGGGTATTTAGAAGGCAAAGCTAGGATTGGTAGACTCAACAAAGTGAGATATTTCAGATAGAACCTATTATTATTATTTTCTGATGTGTGCATCTTTTATATTATTATACAATATATTATTATATATTTTAATGTTAAAATGTGAAGGGGTGCTTGCAGCTAGCACTTCTAAGGCAATGTTTTCGTAATCTGGGAATACGGCCTACTTAAAATCCTTTTATTTAGTTATTTTGACAACCTCTGTCATTTCATTTACTCATCAGGGATATCAGACTCAGCCCCCTCATTCCTTGAATGCAATAAATGGACAGGGAATCATGGGATTTGTAGTTCAGCAATATCTAGGGGGCCAGAGTTAGACATTTTTGCTCTAGATGTCTCTAAGCTGTTGGTTTGGCTAACATTGATGAATGGGGCCACTGAGTCAGTAGGGTAAACCTATATAGGTCGGGTGTGAGATATTTATCATGTTACAACAACATAAAGGATTTAAGAAAGCACACATATGAACATATCTTGGTTGAGTATAATTAAATGTATTATTTGAGTTAACAATTGGTCTATATAAATATATTCATTTAGGCCACAACATGCAAGCTGACTGCAAGAGAGCATCAAGGAATGCTATCTGTGTACATACCTGGCTCAGGTAAGTGTATAGCTGAATCTTTAATGTAACTATCAGATCTATTAAATGGTGAAGAGGCAGAGAGTAAAAAAAAATCCAATTCCTAGGTTTATTTACTAAAATGTGAGTTGTGGTCAGTTTACAACCGACTTAGAAAGTTAACATTTATGTCTAAATCCCCAAAATGGGAAAATTTCCCCAACATCCACAAGGGTGAGATTAAATGCTTCTTGACTATTTTTGTCTAAATATTGCAACTTGCTTTTCAAAGCACTTTAGAGAATACATTCCTTCGATTACTTGATGCTACAATCAAATAAGAAATCTGTGCAAATTTACGGATTCATGAGAATTTGTAGGCGTGTAATCCTTAAACTATGCAATACTCTGCATTTCCAAATTAAATGTGAGCTCACAGGACAATAACGCTCCAAAATCCTAAATAAACATCAGCTTAGAGGACAATAGACTCCCAAGTGGAAAGTCAGGAAAGTTCAGACTTACTGAGTTAAATATTCACTAAAATTAGAATCGGACAGAATTTAAGTGAATCCAAAGGTAATTTCTAATTTTAGGTCAAAATAGGGGAGCTGAAAACTGACTTGAAAAATTGTTCTAATTTACCTATTTGGCCTGAAATGTAAAACTTAATATGCGTTAATTTTAAATTACTGACAATTCAGACTGTAGGGTTTGGTTTTTTATTTTTACTTTCTACAAAAAAAAAAATGCCAAGCTGTGACCTTAGATGTTTTACAGATTAGCTAATTCAGCCTAAATTTTGCAATTATAATTTAAATTTGCTATAATTCGTAACTTAGTGAGTGATTTCTTTGATGAATAACCCTGTTAAGGCCACATTTACCAAAAAAAGGAAATTGTGGTGAATAGGGAACAAATCTGCAACATTCACAAAGGGCAACAGGTGAAATAAATAGTTGAATTTGGCAATTTTTCAATTTTTTTTAGCTGTTGTTGGTTTTCAGTTCATAGTTTAGTAAATTATTTTTTTATCTTTTTTTGACAAGAAAGTATGGAAAGAATCTTTAGACAATAGATGTGTGTGTCTAACTATGAGCAATTAAACAGTTGACTTAAAAAAAAATGTATGAATAGCAGTACAGCGCTACGGAATTTGCTGGCGCTATATAAATAATAAAATAATACTTATAACAACACTGAAAAAATGTCATTGCCTCTATTTTTTTTCAATAAATTTGTTTATTTACCACAATTTATGGTTTAGTGAATTAATCTCTCTCTCTCTCTTTACATGTTTACTTGTATGTCTGATAAATGTGAATATTTTTAAAGATATTATTGACTATCTAGGGGTATATTCATTAATTTAACTGTAGCAAATTAATATCAGCATGGCACAATGTTAGGCCTTTTCCAGTTGAGCTATTTTTTGCCATTTGGATGATTAATTGTATAATACCGAGTTTTGTTACTAAATTTCAGGGCAGAGGGATTTCTGCAAAAAACTATGACAGCATCAAAATAATTTTATGATGTTAATGGTTATTAATAAAATAGCATGCGCTGGTTATCTTTTTATAATTATAGATTTTAAAGGACTCAGCCTCAGATATTTCCTCAAAACTCATCAAACTTGTAAAACTCTGTTCACCATACCTAGGTTATTATATTTAATAACAAAATAAATGCCACTAATAAAATTAAATACACATTTGCACCCAGTAATTTTTAAGTTTAAGTTTTCCCCTTACTGACCTATATTAAAATATGTTAAATGTATTATTTTATTTTGTTTTCTAAAGTAATTAAAAATCGCAAAATACAGACAATAATACAATTGTCCACATATGCTTGGGAAAAACAGAACTCACAAATAGCTAAACATATATTTTTGTTTGTATGGATATACATGCATTTATCCTTTTTTGGATGCAGATTAGACTGTACAAATATTTGCTACATAGATGATATTTTTATGTCAAATCATGTTCAGGAAGGAGAATATATTTTACACATTTTATACAGTTATACTCTTGTTGTTTTCACATCAGAATCATAAATTAATATGGCTGCTAAACATGTTTTCATGTCCTATGTATCCAAGTGTTTCAGGATTGTATAAATGGTTCCATTAATCAAATTTTAAGCATTTCACACCAGAAAACAAAATATCCATTTGATCTGGATAGTAGTAATTTAGTGTAGGTAGTTGCACATATTATTTCAGTTGCATTATGGGCCTTACTCTTAATACAGGCCTTGAGTTAGGTAATGACATGGAGCCCCTGCTCAGTCAATTCTGAGATTAAGAACCATAAAATATACTCTGGACACTGAATGAGAAAGAAAACAATTTTCAGAACATTTACAAATAACATTTTTTTATTTTTGTTGTTTTTTTGTTCTGTTTTTGTTTTGTTAAATGTACACAAGACAACATTACAAAAAAAAAATCATAAATTTTTTGTACAGTGCAGAGAAAATAACAATCGGTGTCTGTGCTGGGCACATCACCCTAAATACAAAGAAAGAAAGAAAATAGTCCTTCATTATATATAGATTTATATAAAACATGATAGAGTTTGACTTTACACAGAACATCAATTTGTTCCACATTTACAGTGACATAGGAGAAAAGGATTCACAAGGCAAATATTGCCAACAAAAAAAACACCATTTTAATACTGATAATTTTTAATGCAAGGTGGTGTCTCTCTAGTAATAATTATAAAAAAAAAGATAAATAAATTAACAGAGTGTTAAAAAGTGCCATGACAACTCTGCAAATGGCAGTACTGATCTGAACATCCATTGTCCAAGGGGACAGCATAACACACTACAAGTAGTGAATAATAAGTTCATAATGAGGCAAATTGAAAAAAAATATTCATAATCATTAATTTATGGTCCTAACTGAATAGTTCATTTAAAACTAATATTTATAATGTGCATACTGTTTGCAGACAGAGAATTAATAATATTTAATCTGTTTGCCAAACTATATTTTTGCTTTTATTAAATTAAAGGTACATGTTGTTTTTATAACCCTTACCAGAGAAGTCTGTGCCATTAGGGACTTGTTGTGTTGCCCAGAAATTTAGGGATGAAGAAAAATTGCAATTATGTATTTCAGAATACTTTAAATTATTTTATTGATATTTTTTTTTAAGTTTTATTTCAAAAATATGTTTACAGTCTTCTATTTTGCCCTTTAGTGCACAAAGGGTTAACTAGCAAAGTCACTTCCTCTTTAGATTTGACTTTAATAAAAAAATTCAAAAATAAAAATAATACCTCTTTAGTGAACAGGTTAACTGATTTAACCATTTGGCTGCCAGAGTGTCAAAAAGCTGGTATCTCAGGAGTTCTGTTGTAATGTGACCGGTGAAGCCCACATACTGAGTCTCTAGCTGGTGTCCCCCAGGGGCCCTGGGGTTTGGGCCTGTTACAGATCACATGACACAGGGCTTGATATCTTGATAACTAACTTGCTGGTGGTAATAGGATCCGCTCCCTGCATGCATTGACGATGAAGCCATGGCATTAAAGGAGAAGACAAACTCCTTTCTGTCATTCATACTGGGAGATTGGGAGTGATACCTGGGGATACCTGGGGTGAAAAAGAGGAGACACTGATTAGCACAAGATACAAACACCGCACTGGATACAATGTTGCCACAAAGCAGGCTCTCTCATAGCAGTCATCGTGTGCAGCCCTGACATAAACTAAACTATGAATATTACTAATATATTATTACATATATACTATCACATCTATACTGTCACTTAGCTGGGGAGGAATCCTACAGATTTGGATAAATCATCTCTCTTTCACCGATACTCTGCATTATATTCTGCAAATCAATTACTTGTGTGATATTCCATATATTGTAGACGTAAAACCTTGCAGAATATATATTTAGATTACATATTAATAATACTAATTTAAGGTTTCCATGGAAATGTGAACGTTGTTAGACACAGTGTGATTCTGCCCCCGGGATGTAAATTATTTAATTCTGAATTTTGTAATAATATATAAAGTGAAATCGCTCTCCTATTTATTGCATTTAAAAATTATAAAACGGCAAAACTTTCCGAAGAAAGAACAAAATATGGATCGGCAATTATTATTATTATTATTATTATTATTAATTGTTATTTGTGAATTTGCAATAGCAGCAGCTCGCTCCTAATATTGTATTAATCTAAATACTATTTATTTTGCTAGCCTTATAATTATAATTTAGACACAATATACTAATAGAATAAATTGTAGTTGTATCGAGCTCTGGGCACAGCTGTAATAGTTACTTATGTCATGGGAAGAAAGCTGCTGTTATACTATTTAAGTTTAACTGGCATGTTGGGAAATAAGGCAGACTGACTAATTAGTTCCTGAGACTCACAGTGACAAAGCATGTCTAAAAGACAATTTACTGCAGGGAATGATAGTGTGATAATATGCAAAGCACACTTTTAATTCTACAGCGATATGTGCGTATAATAAGAGTGCAATGCGTAGTGTAACGGTTACAATGTATCAGTTATGCTGTGATTAGTTACGTTGTATCCGTTTAGCTGTCTCATTGCTCAATGCACGGTTTGGCCGTGAGAAGTACAGCAATGCGTGCAGAGGGAATGGCTTGAAATGCTGTATTTTGGGATTTGAGAAGCTGAGACAATCCCCCATGGACCAGAGTAAGCCTAGGGCATGCAGACAGCTCTCACCCTCATCATCCCTAATTATTCCTGCTTGCAGTCCCAGTGGCTCCACTCTAAATACTGCCATCCCATCCCAGGGATGTGGGACACATGTGTGCCCACTCTGTTTACATGGGATCTGTGTGTGTCTCCCAGGCCATGAGTGCTGCATGAGGACAGTGCTGGGATCATTCCCTGCTACTTTCCATGAGTCACTACATTCTCAGGAATATGAGCAATCTCCCTGATGTCACAGAGCTGTAATTAGAGCATCTTGTTACATTATATAATTCACCACTTTGGGGGCTTTGTTTATGATGGGATTGTTAAACGCTGGATATTGATAATGTGTTTTGCAAGCACCCACAGAGTCAGTCTGCATAACGCTGTTATTTATTGTCATTAACCGTTTAAGGTTTGGAATTGGGCTTCTTTTTCTACTGTCAGGATTACGGTAAACACGGGAATTTTTCTCGGACTCTGGCATGGACAGGTTTAATGATAAGAAAGGGGTTTCTGAATAACTGATCGGATCAATGCATTGTCTATTGGCTGAAACGCATTAATATTTGTAGCAATGTTCTAAGAGTGGAGAAATCAGCTGTAACATTCCATGAGTTTCCATGGTAACTGCTCCACTCTAAGTGTCCTCAAATTGTTATCTAAATTCCCCCATTAGACCAGGTGTACTACATCTAAAACCTGCAACCCCCATTATCAATACAGAAGGTAGGTACCATACCTTGCAGGTCTGCCGTGTTGTGGCTGTTCTGGTGCAGGTAAGATTGGTCCAGGGTGTGGGATGAGAGGCTGGAGGACAGGGTGTTGCCTGCAGAGTTGCAGGGTGATAGGGGCTGTTGCTTGATGTAAGGGGCAGAAGCTGAAGGAGCCCAGGCTGAGGCTGGGTTGGAGTACACAGAATGGGGCTCCATCACCCCACTTCCTCCTAGGAGAGGAGAGGCAGCATCGTGGTGGGGATAATCTCCCCCAGAAGATCCCGTGCAGCTCCCCATGTACGAGTGGCCACCGTTGGACGCAAGATGCGACACGGAGTGTGCAGTTAAGCCCATTCCGTCCACGTTACTCGGCAGATGCCCATTCATCATCCCTATGCCACCGTCCAGTGACAGGCCGTTGGGTTGGCAGGAGATAGACCCACCAGAGCCCTGGAAGCTGTAGGTATCTGGTATGTGGTTGAAGCCCAGACCGTTCATCATGCTGTACATGGGCTTCAGCGCTTGACATTTCCTCCTGAAGCCCCTGGGTCTTCTTCTGAAGGAACCTTCTTCAAACATGAACTCGCTGGCTGGGTCAATGGTCCAGTAATGGCCCTTGCCAGGTCTGCCCAGTCCCTTGGGGAGCTTGATGAAACACTCATTAAGGGACAAGTTGTGCCTGACTGAGTTTTTCCATCCTTGGTAGGACCCCCTGAAGAAAGGGAAGCGACTTTGCAGGAACTGGTAGATCTCGCTGAGTGTCAGCCTCTTGGTGGGGGAGCTCTGGATGGCCATCACTATCAGGGCTATGTAGGAGTATGGAGGCTTTTCTGGCCTCCTGATCCCAGCGTTGGTCTTCTTGGCCTTTGTATTGCAGGAGGCTGACTCCATGACCGAGGTCTGCACACTGTGCTTCTCAGGGGGTGCAGACATGGGGCTGCTCTGGGCAGGGGTCTGAGAGGGGGGCTGCTGGATCTCCGCAGTCATGGTGCCTGGGCAGTGAGAAGCTGCTGCCGTGCGATGAGCTGTGAGTGAAGCTGAGACTGGAGTGGAGATGCTGAGAAGTCCTTCACATGTATCAGTTCCTGGGACTCTGCAACAATGTCTCCCTCTGTGAGTGTGGGATGGATCAGCAGGAAGTGGCTGCAGGCTGGGCTTAGTGTGAGCTGTGTACAGCGCCGAGTTCCTGGCTGCTCTGCCTCGCCTGGTCCAGGAGGGAGCTGTTTAGCATCGCAGTTGGTTTGGATTGTGCCCCACCAGGGGAGATCGCCTTATACTTATCTCTTGTCACCGGCGTCTGTCTGCTCTTCACAGTAAGACGTAAGAAGAAGGCTTTCCCCGCCCCACCGACCCCATTTCCCACCTCCCCTTTTCAGGGTACTCCCATCCCCCCACACACTAAGGGTCAGTTAAAGGGACACCTAGAGTGCATTCTCTCAAGTACTCAAAATACTATGTGTAACTGCATCATGTCACAATCCTTCTAGCTGAATATTGATACAATTTGGGACCTATAACAGTCTGCACACATCATTACAGAGATGGGGGTCCATTACATTAGAATATTTTACTAGTATATGGGTTATTTCCAAAACAATAAGATTAATAAAACTGCAACGATTGAGAGTGAGTGTTATAGGTAACAATTACCTGTAAACGTCCAGCTTTAGAACGGTCAATATTGACTCTGACATTGTATCACTCATTACCCATTGTACAGCGCTACGGAATTTGTTGGCGCTATTTAAATAAAATAATAATTACCTTGCAAGGAAATAGGAGTCTGCAAGGCACAAGCCATTAACCCCCTGTGTGCTTGAAGAAGGAACACACCGGTCTGGAATGTAAAGGGTTAAATGTAGCTTTATTTAACCAGTAATTACGTTTGATTTTTATTAATATTATGGCTCCCTCTGCATCTGTTTGCACAGTAAATCAGATCTAAGCTCTGTCGTTTGACCACAGACAGCTCTCCATTTCACACGCTGGGCAGCGGATATTAAAAGCATATTTGTGGGTTCACAGATTTGGCACATGGTTTGAAACATAACAACATAGCAGCAGTCAGAGTTGGGGTGACTGGGGGTCTGAGCTGAAGGTGGACTTACCCACTTGCATTGACTTTGAGATTGCTGAGCAGATAGAACGGGCAGGATGTTTATAGAGTTCAATGTAAACATGTTTCTATTGAGATTCTTTAATAAAAAAAAAACACAGTTAAATCTCCTGCTAGCTCCCATAATGAGTCTTTCTGCTACGTATAAAATGTGCTTTGTACCACACCGAGTTCCCCCTTTTTCTTTTCATTTTACTTTTATACCGAAATAACCACTAGCTCAGTGCTGGGATCCTCACATGGAGTTTGGGGAAAGGACAGGCTCCAAATGTAATCTGCCATCGAGTCACCAGTAAGATAGCCATCAAGGTAAGTCACTTTCAACTTTTGTCACCTACTTAAAAACAAATGGACCCCATTGCCCCCTCTTAGGGAGCTGAGAGAGCGAGGTTTGCTTTCACAATGCTCTGTGACAGAGACAGACAGGAGGGGAGCTTTCTCCACCATTCACATAGAATATAAAAAGTAATACATTTATACATTCTACATCAGGTCTCCCTATACCCCATTCTGGATTTAAAGGCACACAGTTGCAGGATGCCAGCTACTTTCCAAAAGGGAGAGGATTTCTTAAAATATTCCTTCAGAACAGGCTATATCTATTTAATGTTGTTACAGTGACTAAAAACACTTTATTACGTCTACAAACAGATATGAATAGGTAGGAATTATTTATATGTAAAACTGTGTGTATATTTATATGTGAGAATGTAAGTGTGTGTATAAGTGTATATGTGTGTGTGTGTCTGTAAGTATACATACGTGCATGTCTCTATATGTATGTCAGTGTGTGTGTGTCGGTGTGTGTGTGTATTTCAGTTTCAATATTCGATGTATGAATTATACTCTCACTATACTATATCTGTATTTACACATATAGCTATGGACGGTGTAGTGAGTATAGAAATATTAAAGTCATTGTATGGTAATTACACTTACAATATTTTTCAGGTTATTCATTAAAAATGAACTATGTTGATCTGATAATGAGCTCGCAAAATGTAGGCCAACAAGATCCGTTTTGGGGGGACAAAAACACAATTAATTGAGGTTTCTCCCATGTCGGATATTTAGTCTATATTTTGTACAGAGCTTACTGTTTAGTGAATAAACAGCATTCGTTCATGAATACATCTCTATAGTATAATATATCGGACACAGAATACAAAACAGAGAATAATGATCTTTAACCTGCTTCAATAACGATACAGATATTCTATTTATTTTCTATAAATAAACGAGGTTGGAGAATTATATCTTTTTAACTCAGTTTGTGCCGTGGGTTGTTTAAAGAACATGTCGAATATTTAACTTTTCCAAACACAATAAATAAAACATTACTCGTGCAACATTTGGATGCCGCCCTCCTTTGAAATAACTGATCACATTATTTGTGAGGGTCTCAGTGATAATTTATTACATTCTATGTGTAAAGTGCAGGAAAAATATTAATATTAAACAAACAGGGCATCATGGAAAATCAGACTGTGCTGATAGAAGGCAAAATATTAAAATATAGATTTATCTGGTAAAGATAAAATAAAAACACAGGATGTTAAATTATAACATAGATATAGCAACACTATTTGGATTGATCAAAGAACACAAACAGCTATCCAAATATATTAAATTATAATTATTTTTATTTATATCTTTACACACACACCTGTGTCTGTGTATTGTGTTGATTATAAATAATATTTAGTGTGCTACATTTTAGTCATTTCTCTACGATAATAATAATAATAACAATGTGTTTAACCAGGAAAGGTACATTCAGATATTCCCAGGTTTCCAAGAATTTCCCGATAAGTTTGACCTATGTGACAATTCTAACCCATACTGTGTTTATAAATATTGAAATTAAATAATTAAAAACAAACAACAAATCGAGGAGGGAGCGCCATGAATATCAGGCATACAGCATTGGACAAAGCGGTCAATATGACATTTTCTCTAGATACGATCCAAGTAAAGTAGCGATTTGGGCTAGATATGAACGGTGACCTGATATTGTTGGTAATAATTTTAGAATGAGTCCATCTCAGCTCTCCCTGATAGTCACAGTAACAGCTCCCCATGGCTGAGTTGTACAGGATGACAATACTAACGATATTATAAGAATACTATTCTTAGGATTAGGAGGAAATAAGGCAGCATTATTCAATGCAACAGTGTATCCTTCCCCTACAAACAGAATGTAACTATGTCACTGCACAGCTAGCGGTTCTCTGGAAAATATAGCATAGATCCTTTTTTTTACATTTTATTTGGCGAAAGTAGAACCAAACCTAGGACTGTGTGTTCCCCGTGACCCCGAGGTAGTTTTTGTAGCAGCTAATTGTTGAAGGGAGCCGGGCTGTCCAATAGCTGGACGGGTATATAGGTAATATTGTTCTAAGCAGACTGTGCAGGGCTCTCTCCTGGAGGGGCCTGTGTTTATCAGACTGTAGACCACCCATGGAGACAGCAGACAGGCGTGTGCCCCCTCTCCTCTCCCTGCTTTTAATTAACACCAGTAACTTCACTTGCACAACTCATGCCCCCCCTCCCCTCGCCCCACTCCCTTCCCTACTATAGGTTAGCTCTTCCTTATCCCTGTCCACAACAGCCTGCACTCCTTGCTATGTAGACCATTGCAAATTGATCTCTAAACGTTTACATAAGGTAGAATAGGAGGGGGAAATGACATGTCCAATTCTACAAGCTCCTAAAATCAGAGGGAAAGAGGGGGGTTATTGGCATTTTATAAACTTGTGAATGGGTTCATAAAAAGGTGTTGACAATAAGGGGTAACAATAAAGGCAATTATAGACACTTTATGGTCTAAACCAGATTGGGTTGATATTACCTAGAGTTAGCCCTCACTATCTGCCTGGGTTCTGGGTAAAACTCAGATTATCTCCACATCCCACACTTTCTATAATGTAAGACAGAGCTAGCACAGATCCAACATTAATGGGTTTAGAAGAATTGGGGCCACCTGGGTTACAGTAATATCACATGATATTGCTCTATAAAGTAAGAATAATCCCATTAAACTCACACATTATATGATGATAGTATACACACAGGGGGGATGGAGGGTATACTGTACGTACAGTGCACCCACTACCTGTACTCCTGCTTTATCCAAACCCATACACACAGTATATGTATATACACACTAATTTATATTTTTTTCTGGATTCTTTCATTATTTTCCCATTTTTATTATGATTTGTCCCCTAAGGTGTAAACACATATCAAAATATCAAAAGACAACAGAATAGAGCGATTTCATAAATAAAAAGCATCCTGTTCACCGAGCCAGATAAATAAATCCATCTATTTCTGTGCAGTGTTCCTGGCTCCATCAGCAAGCTTTGATGGTTTGGCACACACACAGTGAAATGAGGCTGTTCCCATCACAGAACGTGACCCTCCTGATTATTATTTTCGTTCCATGTCAGGGATCTTAGTGTATTCTGTGTATGGGTCTATCTATCTCACACTGATCACTAGAGACACCCCCGCCCCCTAAATTATATATATATTAGGTGATACATTTCTAAGGTGTCTGAAAATATCTGGGGTATGCATCCTTGGAGTTTAACCCGTTCCTAGCCTCAGAGGACATGTGTAAACTCCTTAATCCATTATTAAAATTCAGAACGGTCAGCTGGATCTATTTACTAAACAACGAGTTGTGTCGAAAAACTCTCTCTAATCTTAATCTTATCTTCTCTGATGATTTTGTTCCATTTCAGCTATTAGTAATTTAGTCAGTGACCTCAGTTAGATTCAAGAGGACCCAGGGCTCAACCTGTACCTAACTTCTTAGCTCCCTCCTGTACCACAGCACTTCCCAGCTCACACCATTCACATCTCACCCTGCACCCCAAAACAAGATTGCTTCACATCTCACCCTGCACCCCAAAACAAGATTGCTTCACATCTCACCCTGCACCCCAAAACAAGATTGCTTCACAGCTCCCTAAGCACACTTTACAGCTCACCCCAAAACCAGCTCACATAACAGACCTCTCCACCCCCCAATTCTAACCGAGTTCTCTTCATTATGTTGGTCAGAGACTACATGTATCCGCTATCCTCATCTACAAAATCACATTTTCTGGGACATTTTAAAATACCAATTTTCACTAACGTTACTATTTCTACAATTTACATTTTTGTTGACTGAGATTTAACTTTATTTCTCTGGCATCAATTTTTCTACCATCAAATGAAACATATATTAAGGACCTATTCTGTCTATCTATCCATCTCTCAGGTTCCTGCAAAGCATAATATTTTGCAGATCCCAGTAACAATCCCCCCTGTAGCTGTCACAGTTCATGGGATATGACTGATAGACCCACAAAGGAATTAATTCGGTGTTTTTTCAGGTAAAGCGATCTATCCATCACTGCAGTCAATAATTGGCTCTTTATGGGAATATGAAGAGTTAACATTTCCGTAGCTCTTTAAACAATACATTATATGTTAAATAATACAGAGAACACACACACACATCACGACATGGATGTGTGTACACAGAGAAACCCATGGTGAAACAAAAACCGTGGAATGTACAACAAATAATAACCAGAGTCAAATCAACTAAAATAGATCGAATTTTTATAGCTGTAATTAAACAATAGTAGTTTAATGCAATGACTAGAGTTATTTTAGCAACTACAAAGCAAGACAGCAAATTTAGACCAAACCAGCAGCTCAGGGAACATAAGAAGGTTTCTCTCAGCCCCTCTATGGTACATTAAATCGTATATTGGTCCTTAATTCAACACATCTCGCTATTAGTAAGTATTGAATACTGCTAACATTCTATATCTTATTAAAGTGTTAGGTAAATTATGTGTGTGCACGAAATGTTTAACAAAAAACAAAATATGATAGAATATTATATAGGGGGGATATCATAGAAACATTTAAATACATAAAGGGAATCAACACAGTAAAGGAGGAGACTATATTTAAAAGAAGAAAAACTACCACAACAAGAGGACATAGTCTTAAATTAGAGGGACAAAGGTTTAAAAATAATATCAGGAAGTATTACTTTACTGAGAGGGTAGTGGATGCATGGAATAGCCTTCCAGCTGAAGTGGTAGAGGTTAACACAGTAAAGGAGTTTAAGCATGCGTGGGATAGGCATAAGGCTATCCTAACTATAAGATAAGGCCAGGGACTAATGGGAGTATTTAGAAAATTGGGCAGACTAGATGGGCCGAATGGTTCTTATCTGACGTCACATTCTAAGTTTCTATAATTATAGAATACTTAATTTTTTGTGCGTTTTGTTTTTTCAATCTAAGAAATTACTTTTTTTCTATTTGATCGTGACACAAAATAATGAATAAAAACAGAGTCCATAATTTTTATAATTTGTAACAAAAAGATTGCAACACTGTACACACTAAGTATACATTGCATTACAATGTGAGCGAGTTAGACACATAATTATAACTTTTTATAAAAATGGCAGTTGTTGTAATAGAGCTAGCTGTGTATTTACTGATCCAATATGATTATTTCAGTTTCTTTGATTTCCTGCACAGATTTATTTATCTGCAGAGATTCAGTCAGACATTATCAGTGCAGATCAATAAGTCAGGGTATACCTAATTATTAACCCCTTTAAATGCCAGTCCCCTGAGTGCCCCTCCAATCAGGCACCCAAACAGTTACATCGACCGTAGTAGGGCGGTTAAAGGGTTACATGTTGCTCCCCCCCCCACTCAATCTGTTAATAGATATTGCAGGCTCATCATTCACACCTATTACACTCCTCCCCCCTAAACTCTATTCCCATCTCAACAGCCCAACTATTGTTAAACGGTGTCTCTTTAACTACATTTGGAACAGGTCTGATTAATAACCGAACACACGAATTTCAGGAAAAGATTCGGTTTCCGAATCCTGTAATAAAATGAAACCAAATAGCAACATTAAGACAAGTGCTGATTTGGAAATCGCTCTAGTTTGCGGAATCTGAATGTTGCCATTCGGCTTTGGATTCACTACAATTCGCTGTTCAGTATAATTCACCCCTTTCTCCCAGGAATCATTATGAGGAATTCATTCGTTTTCTAGTTAGTTGCCATTTGTTTCTATGAGAATGGCTGTTTTTTTTTAATAAAGGTGAAATATTAATTAACCAACTCTGCTCTGACAATGTAACCGGCTCCTATGGGATCTGTCTGATAACTCAGCATAATATATTCGGCTTATAGAGAATTTCTGTTATTATTGAAATCACCGGCTGGACTAATTCTGAGAGCCCGTTAGAAAAAGTCATTTGATGGCAATATTCTGAATGTGGTGCAATCACCATGGAAACCAGTGGGCGGTTCCTGACAAGTGCGGCGCTATTAGCTCTGTCCTCCGGATTTTCCAATTCATAAATGAGTCCTGTATTTCTCTATTCCCAGTTACTATTTAATAGGAGCTTATAGCATCATAATTGTAATAATTAATATATATATAGAAAAGTCACATTTCAACAGAGCTGAATAGATATTGAATAGGTCACATGAACCCAGGCCATTAATTGTGAGCTTTGCTCTATCCCAGTGACCAAGAGACAGGTAAATCTAAGGAAATCAGAGGTCCAGCAATGGGCTTCTCTTATATTAATATTGTCAGGATTTGTTATTTAGACAAATGGTGAAATGCAGGTCTATCTGTCTGTCTCTCTATCTATCCATTATCAATCAATCTATCCATTATCTATCTGTCTGTCTATCTATCTAATCTACCAATTATCAATCAATCTATCCATTATCAATCTATCGATTTATCGATCTATCTATCTATCTACCTACCTATCTGCCGACCTATCTCGACCTATCTTAGTATGAAACAGCCCATATTATGTCCTATGTATAATACAGATATCCTGTAAATATAAACAATTAGAAAAATACATATTTAATGCTGGTAAATAAACAGACAGGAAATACACTTTTATCTCCTATAAGTATGGTCCAATGGACGCTGCCATCTGAATTATTTATCAGAATGTAGGCTTGGCTATATTAACCTAGATTTTGCAATTCTGTTTCAAATGACCTGTAATTCGATGTTCAGAGATTACACGCACTGCATTTTATAGATCTACATCTTCTATGTCAATTATTTATACTCTAACACACACATACCAAGCCCGAAGGATTGATATATACTGATATCAAACAAATCTGATGAAACATATATGGGTTTTTATTTTTAAATAATTCTAGAAATGTTATTATAAATAATGTGATATTGTAGGCTGTATGTGCATAGAATATTATATGAGATTTTTTCTGAGCCACAGAGCTAGTCCTGGTCATTTAGCCCATCAGGATTCCTAATACAGTAATTAGATTGGAACTCGTATTGTAGAGAGAAGACCTACTCAAACCGACAACACACACAGACACAATCTGTTCCACACAAACATTCACAAAACAGAAAAACAGACTATCATCTTAAACCTAGAGATTCAAAATAGCAGAAACATAAAGGTCGACCATCAAAAAACCGCACAAAATACCAACATTATTATTCCAGACTCAATATTATTCTCAGCTCATAAACCAATATCTATTTACACCACGCTAGCACCAAGGTAACTATCTCACGAGTTTATTAGCAACCTGACTGCAACACAACAGCAAGAGTTTCATAACTTGACTGCAAATCCTAAAACAATAACTGACAAAAAATTTATTAACTAAAGTCAATCACAACTACAATCAAAAACAACCAGAAACACAACTACAACCACTCACAACCAAGAAATACAACTGCAACCACTCACAACCAAGAAATACAACTGCAACCACTCACAACCATAGACACAACTTAAACCACTCACAACCAAGAGACACAACTGCAACAACTCACAACCAGACACAACCAACCATTCACAACCAAGAGACACAACTAAAACCACTAACAATCAAGAGACACAAAGACAACCACTCACAACCAAGAGACACAACTAAAACCACTCACAACCATGAAACACAACTACAACCACGAAACACCACAACTACAACCAAGAGATACAACTACCACCATTCACAACAAAGAAATACAACTGCAACCACTCACAACCATAGACACAACCACAGCCATTCACAACCAAGAAATACAACTGCAACCACTCACAACCAGAGACACAACCACAGCCATTCACAACCAAGAGACACAGCTACAACCACTCACAACCAAGAGACACAACTAGAACCACTCACAATACACTGTGAAAAAGACAGCCACTCACAACAAACAGACATACACCTGTCATTATTATTATTATTATTTATATAGCGCCATCAGATTCCGTAGCGCTGTACAAAGGAAACCCAACGGAATAATACAGTCACTAGCAACAAACAGGAAAACCTACAGCTACTCCCACAACACACATTTTACATATTTGCACCACTACGCTTTGATAAATCTCGCCCAACGTATTTGTGGGATTTATGGCCACTGTACTTTCCCTTCTCCTATTGTAAACTGCAAGGTGCAAATCGCGCAAGTCCGCCTTGATTACAGCCGAGGTATTTACTAAGAGCGCATATTTCTATATATCATCAATATTATAAAGCTCTTTGATCCTTTGTATTGCTAATCACGGCATATGAGTGAACGGGGCTTCTGTGCTGGCATTTCATGCTGTGTGTCTGTCTATTACCTGTCTGTCTGTCTGTCTAATATCACACGTCAGTAAACCATTAAATGACGTCATACATAAACAGAACATTGCAATGATGTCATAACCTCAAACCCCATGTCACGGTGTAAGTAACTCGCTTTAAGTCAGAGCTGCTGTCACAATACCAACTACAAGGAAAATGCTTCTATTACAAGAATTCTTAGCACATTAACAAATACCAGCATTTCGATATCTAGTTTCCGTGTGGGCATTTAAATCCCTCTTGTACCCAATGTGAGTCAATAAAACTATTTTTTTAAATCACAAAATCATTCCCCCATTTTACCAATATCCTGCATTCACAATATAAAACACCTCTCCCAGTTTTCCTTTTCTCCCAAATTGCAGTGATTCGAAGTTTCTCTCCATAATTGTGGTTTTTACTTAGTATTCAGAAACAAACATGAACTTTGTTGCTTTGAATCCTTTGTTACAAAGTGAAGGATTACTTTGTGAATGCTATAATTTTAGTTACATCTGCAGAGACACAGATTGTATATTTATAGCCAGTTACAGCACGATCCTGTGCTCTGTTTGTACCTTGTGATAACTCTGCATCACTAAATCACAATAGGGAGATCACACTAAATTATTTAGGGATAAACATAGCTAGCAGCTCTCTGAGCTAAATGTGACAGTGAATTCAAAGGCATGGGCAGTAAAATGAACCATTTATTCCCCATATAAAACAATGGTATTTTCTAATCTTCACACTGATAATCTCACAGAAAAATACATAGCAGCGGCTGATAAGAATCCTATAGAAAGAATGAACTGTATAAATCCATGTTATCCAAGGGAGATAAACTCAGACGATTTAAGCCCTTACTAATTCATTTAATCTATTTTTTTGTATTTATTTCTAATTATTTAACAATTCTAAAATATATAAAGCATGTGCTTATCTATTTACTAGTAATTAATATCTATTATTTTCTCTACAGCTTGTTGAACTTATCGTTGTTGTGAAATGATACCTGTAAAAAGTGATAGAATCAGTTAATTTGGTAACATTTTTACAGCTGTAATTATCGAACTGTTTCTCAATAAAACAGATTTGAAAGTAGTAAATAAACTAATATTATGAAGAATATATTTAAAAAAAATTATAATTATTATTATGCTAAAGAATATATAAAAAAAACAATTATTATAAAGAATATATTTAAAAAACATAATTATTATTATAAAGAATATATTAAAATACATTATAACAATTATTATTATAAAGAATATATTAACAATAATTTGAAAATTGTTTTTTTAAACAATGTTTAACTTTTTTTTTTACTTAATTGTGAATAATTTGTAAAAGTAAAAATTCGAATAATTTGTTTTAATTTCAAGAAAGTCAAATAAATCCCCTGGTTTTGCACAAGGTGATATTATCCAACGAGAGCCCCCTGCCCTTTGTAATCAGTCCCAGATAACTTCTAACCTCGCACACTAATAGCACATAACAGAGCGATACTGTCTGATTATCAGTAAATGGATCGAAATCTCAGGATGAAATAATGTCATTCTGTGTGTCTATGAGAAATGTGCTGTTTATATTGTGTGCGTGGCTGATTGTATTGATTTGTATAACGGTTAATATTTTATTTTTCAGATACGAATACAGAAAAATGTGGCAGAAATTTGCTGATAACCAGTTTTAAAAAACAAATAAATTATTCAGACCTCACATGATGTATGTGGTTTTTTTTTTTGTTTGTTCTAAACTTAAATAAAGTGATTTCAAAAAACTATGATACATAAAATGTCTTTATTAGAAAATACTAATATTTATTTATATATTTATTGGATGGGAAATAAAATTGGAAACCACCCAGTCCGATTTATAATCGTGTATATGACTTTATGTCATTATGTGTTTTATTGGTTTATAGTTTAGGCTAATGATAAAAATAAAAATAAAAAAAATTCTACATCAATTTATACAAATTCTTTATGATTCAGATTCAGACAGGCAGATGTGACTGTGATATCTGGTAGAACAATATAACATTATAATTCAGTTAAAGTGATTTCCCCTTTCATTTTCCAATATATAAAATGTATCTATAGTCTACAGTGATAAACTGTACCTGCTGTCTGAGGTTTTGTGTGTGTGTTGTGTTGTCCATGCAGTGTGTGTGTGTGTGGTGTTGTCCATGCAGTGTGTGTGTGTGTTGTGTTGTCCATGCAGTGTGTGTGTGTGTGTGGTGTTGTCCATGCAGTGTGTGTGTGTGTTGTGTTGTCCATGCAGTGTGTGTGTGTGTGTGTTGTCCATGCAGTGTGTGTGTGTGTTGTGTTGTCCATGCAGTGTGTGTGTGTGTGTTGTGTGTGTCCATGCAGTGTGTGTGTGTGTGTGGTCCATGCAGTGTGTGTGTGTGTGTTGTGTTGTCCATGCAGTGTGTGTGTGTGTGTGGTGTTGTCCATGCAGTGTGTGTGTGCTGGGGCTCCATTCATTGCTGGCTCAGTAGGTGGCCCCCGGTATGTTTTTGTTTGGGTCGCTAGATTACAAGCAGACCCTCTGCCTGCTGCCTGTTGGGTGGAAAATAGATCAGGTTAACAAGACTTTTTAACCCACTGAGTGCCGCGGCTGGGAACGTCTTTCTGGCGATGACACAGTTAAAATCTTTGCTCTCTTGGCAATTTTTCTAATGTTATAAACATTTCTAAATACACAACACACAGCGACCTTTTATCAGATGGTTCGGAATACCGAATTATGGCTGATAAGTATCTGTTTACATAATATTATACACACACAGTATAGCGATCCACCATTAATATGCTGTTTAATATACACATATATATATATAGCTGTAACCTGTATACACATCAACTAATATAATAATTGTTGAATTTAATTATTGAAGGCCACACCCATTAAAAAAAATATTTTGTAAAAATACTGAAATACGGTACAATAATAAAATCACAATACTATAATACTGTATTATATTACTTGCAATAATACCACTACAATACTATAATACTGTATTATAATAACTATAATACTATAATACTGTATTATAATACCTATAATAATACCACTACAATACTATAATACTGTATAATACCTGCAATAATACCACTACAATACTGTATTATATTACTTGCAATAATACCACTACAATACTATAATACTGTATTATAACACCTATAATACCACTACAATACTGTAGTATATTACTTGAAATAATACCATTACAATACTATAATACTGTATTATAACACCTATACTAATACCACTACAATACTGTATTATATTACTTGCAATAATACCACTACAATACTATAATATTGTATTATCCCACCTATAATAATACCACTACAATACTGTATTATATTACTTGCAATAATACCACTACAGTACTATAATACTGTATTATAACACATATAATACCACTACAATACTGTATTATATTACTTGCAATAATACCACTGCAATACTATAATACTGTATTATAACACCTATACTAATACCACTACAATACTGTATACTGTATTATAATACTTGCGATACTACCACTACAATACTGTATTATATTACTTGTATTACTTGCAATAATACCACTACAATACTATAATATTGTATTATCACACCTATAATAATACCACTACAATACTGTATTATATCACTTGCAATAATACCACTACAATACTATAATACTGTATTATAATAACTAAAATAACACTACAATACTTTAATACTGTATTATAATACCCACGATAATACCACTACAATACTGTATTATATTACTTGCAATAATACCACTACAATACTATAATACTGTATTACAACACCCACAATAATACCACAATACTGTATTATATTACTTGCAATAATACCACTGCAATACTATAATACTGTATTATAACACCTATACTAATACCACTACAATACTGTATTATAATACTTGCAATACTACCACTACAATACTGTATAATATTACTTGTATTACTTGCAATAATACCACTACAATACTATAATATTGTATTATCACACCTATAATAATACTACTACAATACTGTATCACTTGCAATAATACCACTACAATACTATAATACTGTATTATAATAACTAAAATACCACTACAATACTATAATACTGTATTATAATAACTAAAATACCACTACAATACTTTAATACTGTATTATAATACCCACAATAATACCACAATACTGTATTATATTACTTGCAATAATACCACTACAATACTATAATACTGTATTACAACACCCACAATAATACCACAATACTGTATTATATTACTTGCAATATTACCACTACAATATTATATTACTTGCAATAATACCACTACAATACTATAATATTATATTATCACACCTATAATAATACCACTACAATACTGTATTATATCACTTGCAATAATATCACTACAATACTATAATACTGTATTATAATAACTAAAATACCACTACAATACTTTAATACTGTATTATAATACCCACAATAATACCACTACAATACTGTATTATATTACTTGCAATAATACCACAATACTATAATACTGTATTATAACACCTATAATACCACTACAATACTGTATTATATTACTTGCAATAATACCATTACAATACTATAATACTGTATTATAACACTTATACTAATACCACTACAATACTGTATACTGTATTATAATACTTGCAATACTACCACTACAATACTGTATTATATTACTTGCAATAATACCACTACAATACTATAATATTGTATTATCACACCTATAATAATACCACTACAATACTGTATTATATCACTTGCAATAATACCACTACAATACTATAATACTGTATTATAATTAAAATACCACTACAATACTTTAATACTGTATTATAATACCCACAATACCACTAAAATACTGTATTATATTACTTGCAATAATACCACTACAATACTATAATACTGTATTATAACCACTATAATACCACTACAATACTGTATTATATTACTTGCAATAATACCACTACAATACTATAATACTGTATTATAACACCTATAATAATACCACTACAATACTGTATTATATTACTTGCAATAATACCACTGCAATACTATAATACTGTATTATAACACCTATAATAATACCACTACAATACTGTATTATATTACTTGCAATAATACCACTACAATACTATAATACTGTATTATAACACCTATAATAATACCACTACAATACTGTATTATATTACTTGCAATAATACCACTGCAATACTATAATACTGTATTATAACACCTAAAACAAAACCACTACAATACTATATTATAATACCTACAATAATACCACTACAATACTATAATCCTCTATTATAATACCCACAATAATGTAATCCTCTATTATAATACCGATAGCACATTTTATGGTACTCAGTTGGTATTAGAGACATACACCACAAGACTTGCTAGAACACTAGACAACAATTTGTTTTCTGCTTAAATAAACTATATTCATATTAACAAGACATTTATTTTTGTTACTATTTCCCTGTACATATATACTTTTTTGTTGTATATCATTTATATTTGTGCAATGCTATTTATGTATGTATCCTTTTATAACTTGGAAAATTCTTTGCTCTGTATTTTTTTGTTTTGCTGGGTAAACTGCAACACTTTTACAAACAGTAATAAAAACATAGAATATTTAAAAAATAAAATAAAATAAACAACTACCTAAAGAAATAGACTCTGATTAAAGTAGAGTTGTCCTGTAACAGTTAATTAATACGCTTCTCCTGCGCCAATTCCCACGTTTATGGATTTAAGGACCCTCCCATATCAGGGCACCCCTCTGCTAACATCCTGTGAGTGCACAGTGGAGATGGTCACATCAATGGGGCCTCTACAGCCATCACATGGACCTCATGAAGATGAAAGTGTTGTCACATTAATGTCCACCAACAAGTCCAGCCCACACACTCCTGATAGCTGGCATCAATCTGCTCAATTTATCTGTCAACACTCTGCTAATCCCCCAATAGTTTCAAACAGGTGCTTCATGCTGTATCCACATTTTAGCCTCTTCATCAGCACCCCTGCCTGGTGACAGTGACTTACTTAATAGTTATCTGTGCAATGAGCTGAGATTGAGGTTTGGCCTAACACTAGATGGCCACTTTGAAAGAACTTCTCCCTAAGCCTGTATCGGTGTAACAGGGTGCTATGTACAAAGATTTGGACCTCTTACTGGTACAGCACAGCAGTGTTTAGGCTGGGTGTGTGTCCATTATCTCAAATACCATTGATGTCTGGACACTTTAGGTGCTGATTCTAAAGTAGATGTAATGCCTTTATATACAGGTATAACCGTACACAGGTAACACTGCTCACATCTTTTGGAGTGAGCATTGAAACCTCTGAACATGTGTGTCTTAGGAATGATCCCTGATGGAGGGAATACGATATTTAAATTATTTCCTATACTGTACACTAGACTATACTGGTTTCTGTCCTATACTGGTTACTATCCTATACTATACTGTTCTGTCCTATTCTGGTTTCTATCCTATACTGCACTATGCTGGTTACTGTCCTATACCGGTTACTATGCTGTATACTGTACTTTACTGGTTTCTGTCCTCTACTGTCCTATACTGGTTTCAATCCTATACTGTACGAACAACCTATGAGCCAGGGGAACCGTTAATCTGTTTGTTCATATTGAACTCCCG